TGAAGAACAACTCAGCAGAGGGTCTAATAGAGCACAAGACTCAAGATTGGACGTTCGGGCGCGTGGTTTCTGGGATCCCCAGAGCTCGGCATTCTTCGATGTGAGGGTTTGCCACCCTAATGCCGAGTCTTACAAGGACCAGGAACCACAGCAGATTTATCTCATCCATGAAAACGACAAGAAGCGGTTGTACTCGAGGAGAGTGTTGGATGCGAGCAAGGCTCGTTCACGCCGCTTGAACTACTTCAACTACAGGAGGGATGGGGATGGAATGCATAACATACCAAAGCCGATTGGCCGAGCTGATAGCCGCCAAGAAAGGGAAACGATACTCGCAAACAATTTTCTGGATCCAAGCAAAGACATCCTACGCCCTTCTTCGGTCGGCGTCAGTTTGCCTTCGAGGATCGTGGGTGAAGCGCCGCGCTGTGTATGACTATAATAATTGTGACGTTGAAATCGCAGCCCCCGATAGAGCCATTGACATTGTTAAATGCCTTTTAGCAGCCACAAGGCTACTGGCTGTGATGGCATTCCAGCAAAAATTGGCATTCACGTAAGCTCGTCCCAGACAGTCAGCAGTGGCTGCCCCCAGGGCTCTGTCCTGGGCTCACTGCTTTGGAATGTATTTAAAATGACTTGTCCCTTTTTGTTAAGTCAAGCTTGTCGATGTATGCAGACGACCATCAGCTGTTCCACATCGGAAATCACCAATCTAGTGTTACCTCAGAGCTTAGAGAAACCGGGCGCACCACCACTAACTGGTACGACTCCAATCTTCTTGCTGGGAACCTCAAGAAATATCAGGCTATGAACATTAGTTATATATAGTGAAGACAAAAACGATGCCACATACGCAGTTCGTGTGAACAATGAGGAAATAAAAACAGTCGGAAAGCTTGAACTCTTAGGTGTTCTCTTAGACTCGAGACTTCCACTGACCATATCAGTTCAATCTGTAAAAAGGCCAGGCCAGTCAAAGGATAGGTGTGCTCATGCGATTTAGAAACCTAGTTCCTATACGACAAACTAGTGCTGTTCAAAACAGCGATTCTACCGTACTTAACATATTGTCATTTATTTCGGCATTTCTGTAAAGCCAGTGATTCGCGCAAGATAGAAAGACTCCAAGAGAGAGGCTTAAGGGCTGTGTATAAAGATCAGCACGAAACCTATTCAGAACTACTCAAGGGAGCCGAGCTACCAACATTAAAGAACAGACGCCTGCAGGATGTACGCACCCTTATGTATAAAGTCAAACACAAATTATGTCCAGTTTATATTAGCAATATTTTTAATACTCCTAGTACTTCTTATTTTTTAAAACAAACTGATTTTAGCGTTCGCAGATATAATACAGTAACATATGGTCAACATTCTTTGCGCTACCTTAGACCAAAGTTATGGGGAAAACTGCCTGTAAATTTCAGATCTGCAAAATATTTGCACCACTTTAGGTGCATGATTCGAAAACTCGATGTAACTTCTCTGTTGGACGACGGATGCACGCGTTGTTCTTGCTGTTTATCTACGTAGTTAGTTGTTAATCGTTGTTCAGTGACATTATGGTGAGAGCATCAATTAATAGATTTGTTCTTAGATGTAATTTTTAATGTTAATTTTTTTATACTTGTACTAGATACTAGCTGAATAGATTTTACTTTACTTTA